ACAAAGTTAACACTATAATATTGGTTAACATTTGAACCAACCCCTATGTGTGTGTGTGTATGTATGTATATATATATATATATATTGATGGGAGATAGATATTGTATCTCTACAACATTAAGTGGTAACACATGCAAGTATACACGTGTCAACATTATCACAATCAAGTAATAAAATGGTAAGAACCAAGTATCATATTCCATAAGGATAGGTATCTTAAGTTGCAAGATCTCAAGTTGAAAGACTAACTTCAAATGGCAAATTTGAAGATTTTGATTTGTTACTGAGTTAATAAATGCAAATAACATAATAAACAAAGGTAGCACGAGTGTAAGACTAGTGGTGAGACTCAAACACGAATTCCAGTAGCCAATGTTGTAGGGATGTTACAACAAGCAGTTATTCATAACTTAGTTCCACCATCTATTTTGAGGGTATTCCTCTCAGACTTCCACCATTGCACTATTTATAGCTTTCAACCATATCTCTATGTGGTATCCGGACCAGGGATAATGATGAATAGTGTTCTCAAAATATATGGATAAACAAATCTCTTTGTTAAAAATCACTCTCTCGAGCTGATTCTCATATCATTCAAGTTGGCATGTGTTCTAGGTAGTTCATCTTTGAATCTACCACACTTTAACACTTTAACATGTGACCAACCTGTCGAGAATTAATTGGTTTGAACGATATAAATGACAAGTCTCCTTGTCGACAACTTTCTCAAGTCTACCTCTCATATCATTCAAGTTGACGTGCATTCAATGGCTTATCTCTAAGACCATGGCACTTTAACACTTTCAAAGTTATCAACTCGTCAAGAAGTGTCATTAGTTTTTATAAAAACTTAATGAGATAATGGAACGTCTTTATTATAAACAATAACTACTTTCTTTTGGTTTAAAATCTCACTCTTTCATCTCACACCCAAGCTATGAATTTAGCCACTCATAAAGGAAAGTAAATGACAAATAAAATATATAACAGAAAGTAAAGAAATAAATATAAATCGCGTAAAGTAAATGACGTAATGTAAAGAGCAGAAAAATAAATGATTTGTTCAACCAATTGCAAGGCACCAAGTGCTTCTCAAAAATTAATTTGAGGTCGGGATAGCATCAATTAAATGTTAAGAGTGAAGATGTTCCCAAAACATCATTAAGAACAAGATATAGACATTATGAATTTTTGGTCATGCCCTTCGGGTTGACAAATGCACCAACTGCCTTTTATGGACTTGATGAATCGAGTATATAAACCATATCTCGACAAGTTTGTGATTATATTCATAGATAACATTCTCATTTATTCCAAGAATGAGAGTGAACATCGGAAACATTTACATGCAATACTGAGTATTCTAAGGTAGGAGAAGTTGTATGCCAAATTTTCAAAGTGTGAATTTTGGCTCAAGAAAGTTCAATTTGTCGGGTATGTGGTGAATGAACAAGGAATAAAAGTAGATCATGCTAAGGTGAGTGACTTTACGAAACGGGAAGCTCCTAAAAGTGTGTTGAGATACAAAATTTTTTAGGATTAGCAGGATACTACCGTAGGTTTATCCAGGACTTCTCCAAAATAGCATCTCCAATAATGACATTAACAAGAAAAGTTAAAAAGTTTAATTGGAGAAAAGAGCAAGAACCGGCTTTTCATACCCTAAAATAAAAGGCTAAGTGTTGCACCCATTCTACCATTATCCAAGGGAACAGAAGAATTTATAGTATACAGCGATGCTTCAAGATTGGAACTAGAATGTGTACTTATGCAATACGACAAGGTGATAGCCTATGCGTTAAGGAAACTAAAGGAAAACGAAAATAAATATCTGACACATGATTTAGAACTCGTTGCAATTGTATTTGCACTAAAGATCTGGCGACATTACTTTTATGGTACTATTGCATCATCTTATTGACCACAAGAGTATGCAATACTTGTTTAGTCAAAAGGGCTTAAACATGAGACAACAATGATGGATGGAATTACTTAAAGACTATGATTGTAAAATTTGATATCATCCTGACAAAGCTAATGTGGTAGCAGATGCATTGAGCAAACAGGAATGCGTAAAGTCAGCATGAGTAAAAGCTTTAAGAATAGATGTGATGCCTGAATTTTTAGTCGGGATAAAAGAAGCTCAGATTATTGCGCTTACCGAAGAACATATTAAGAAAGAGCGTGTATGGTAGGACAAGCAAAATTCTTAGAAATTGATAATAATGAGTGTAGAATATTTCATGCAAGATTGTGGATTCCATTGGCAAGTGGCCACTGTAAGGTCTTGTTAAGTTACACTCATAAGTCCAAATACTCCATTCACCCAGGCACGGATAAGAAGTACCGAGATTTGAAGTTACTATGTTAGAAGTTTTATTGAGAAATGTGTGACTTGCCTTTAAGTAAAGGCTAATCATCAGAAACCTTTTGGAAGGTTACAACCATTAGAGATCCCACTGTGGAAATGGGATTACATCACAATGGATTGTATGATGAAATTACCTTGAACCAAGAAAAGTAATGATTCCATATGGGTAGTCATTGATAGGTTAACCAAATCAGCTCACTTCCTGCCAAATAAAGAAAGTTATATAGTAGAACGACTTGCAAAACTTTATATTGATGAAATGGTCTCAAGGCACGGGGTACCTTTGTCAATAATATTAGATAGGGATATCCGATTTACATCTAGATTTTGGAGAAGTTTTCAGAAGGAAATTGGTTGAAAACTTGAGTGCAGCCTATCATCCCCAAACTGACAGGCAGAGTGCACGAACCATTAGAACGTTGGAGAACATGCTTAGGGCATGCGTAATTGATTTAGGCGGTAGTTGGTATGACCACCTATAAGAGTTCTCGTATAACAATAGTTATCACGCAAGTCTAAGGGATGCTCCATATGTCTTGTACGGTAAAAAGTGTCAAACCCCGATATGTTAGAATAATTTTGAAAACAAAGGAATTACGAGACTAGAGTTAATTCAACAAACTTCAAAAAAGGTAAAACAAGTCCATGAAAGGCTACAAGCAGCTCAGGACCGACAGAATAACTATGCAAATAAGAGACGAAAGCATATAGAATTTCAAGTAGGAATTGGGTTATGCTCAAAGTTGCTATGTGGAAAATATTGATTAGATTCGTAAGGCAGGGAAAGTTGAATCCTCGTTATATAGGACCCTTTCGAATAATTCAAAGGGTCGGAGAAGTAGCTTATCGGTTAGAAATGCTAGTTGGGCTGCAAAAGATACATAGTGCATCCATGTATCCAACTTGAGGAAGTGTCTGGCTGATGAAGAAATGAAGGTCCCATTAGAAGAGGTTCGAGTGAATGAAAGGCTGACATATGTGGAACATCAGAAAAGATAATTGATCAAGCAATTCGAAGATTGAGGAATAAAGAGGTTATGTTGGTTAAAATACAGTGGAAATATGATAAAGGTCGCAATGCCACATGGAAAATGAGAAGGAAATGACGGTGAAGTTTCCCTATCTATTCTAAAGAAAGTAGATTCCGGGGATTGAATCTCTTATAATGAGGGGAGACTTAGAAAACAGAAAAAAGGGGCAGTTAAATATTAATAAAAGAGGTAAAGGATGGGCTAGAAAAAAGGGTTGTTAGTTGCAGGTGAGTTGTTTTGCTTGGATTGTTGGGAGGATGCCACATCAAGTGGTGGGTCACTTAGGGACCGTTTACTAAACACTTACTTGGTAAGTGTTTACCGGATAAATTTCCTTATCGGATGAACATGGGAAGGGCCAAGAATCTTACCGGATAAGAGCGATGAGAATGATGGAGAGTCTTACCCGGTAAGTGAGGATGACGACTCTTACCCAGGTAAGCGCTTACCCAGTAAATTGTTGCATTCAATATGTTTTGATGTACTAAAATCTTGCGTATCAAAATAAATCATAGTGTTTACTCTTATCGGTAAACGCTTATCGGGTAAGCAATTGGGTAAACGACCCCATAGTTTAAGCTCCTCACCCTTTTGTATAAATAGGCAGCTCATTCTTGCTTCTCTTTTTTCTTTTTCAACAGAAAAGTTGACACATACACACATACAGACTAAGCAAGAGTAGGAGCTAATTTAGAAACCAAGAAACCTTGGTTTCTACAGTTTATACTAGTCAAAACAGCAGGCTATTTCTTATCTCTTCTTTGCTTTGATTCTTTAACCTGAGATACATATTTGTTTTTGTATGGAAAACTGTTCATATTTGGTCAGCATAAACAGCCTTTAATTGTATAGCTATGTGTAGCATGTTATATGTGTCCTTAAAATACATAACATAAGAACAAATTTGGTGACTAGTGGAATGAGAATCACCGAGATGGCGGCAGGGGTCGTGGAAACAGGTCGAGGGGTAGGTTCTTAATAAAAGCCAAAAAGGGGCAACACCCACCGGAAAAAATTGGAAATCCGGATATCTTAAAGGTTTTACATGCATATACATGATACAATATCTTAAAGTTATGGACAAGGCTACTTGAGACGTGAAAAGGAAGTCTGAAAGAAATTATCGAAAGCTACATTTCGTGGCCTAATCGGATGTTGTTTTGGTTTGTATAAATTTGGTTTTATAGCATACGTTAGTACATGTTAATATATTAGAAGTGTATTTTGTAATTATGATCCATCATGAAATGTTTGGCTTAAAACAAAATATGTTTCTTTGAAATCTAATTGCTTCAGCATTTTTCTTATAGGTTTCTTTTCATTTATATATTAATGGCTATGAGACTTGGTTTAGGGGTGTTACTATTATCACTAATAATGTATTACTAACCGGTTTAATCTGCTTTCTAATTAATCATTTAGAGCTCTACTCATTTTTAAGATGATTCTCATCAAAAAGCTGATTTTGTAGTCAACTCTGATTCATTCATTAGTCAGGTGTTTAGCGTATGGTATCAAAACCAAAAGACTGCTGGTTTTGATGCCATCAGCACTTTCTTCTGCAGTAGTAACAAGAAGAAAAAATGAACAACAAAAACTTTGTAGCTAAAAATGCAATTTTAATCTCAATATTTTTCCAATTCTTTGTAGGCCATAATATAAGCAAATTCCATCAATTACATACTCACCATAAAGTTGAACTGAACCTACTTCAGTTGTATATACAACATTCAGCCATTAGCCATTAGCCATTAGCCATTAGCCATTAGCCATTAGCCATCAGATCCTAAAGACAAGAATGGTGATCCAATTGCCTCTGTTTTGCTTCTACTGCTTCCTTCAGTTTCCTACCCAATGCATATGCCAAAGGAGGAGGCACTGCATTTCCAATCTGCTTGTGCTTATGTTGAATGTTCCCAGAAAACTTATACCTATCAGGAAAACCCTGCACACATAAACACCATAAATGATCAAAAACCAACAACCCACCAAACTCCATTTATAAAATGTATGTTTGTATGTATATGTATAGGTATATGTATATGTATATATACAAAAAAGTTAATAATGTACCTGAGATCGAGCACATTCACGAACAGTTAGTATCCTATCCTGATCAGGATGAAAGCACATCCCAACCTTCCCCATAGGCTGGGGGTCGGTAATAGAAGTTGGAAAATTTCCCTCCCAATCAAGCCTTCCAAACAGACCTTTCCATTGGTTATGTCTTTTCGCTGTGTTTGGTAAACACCAGGGTATAAGATCAACCATTTGTCCAGTTGACAACTTAACCTGCAACAACAGTAAGTTACTACTCCTCTACATTACGAAAAAATTGAACGTCCTTCTGATGATGAATTCTAATTTAAACGTGCAAGTACCTTCTCTTCAGGGAGGTCTCGCCAGTCAGCACCAGGGCGTTTGGGAATTCTCTGGCACCTAATGACATTCAACTCATTCATTTCTTTCGATATATGATCAGTTAGCACAGATGCATCTCCCCGAATTCTCTTTTGAAACCAAGAAACAGACTCATTCTTGTACTGTACACAAATACAAATGAGTAAGATATAGAAAAATAACATCAAAATAAACAAGGAAAGAAAATAAAGAACAGGTTGTAGATCTACCTCTATAGTTGCTGCAGAAGCCCCATTTCCAACAGCAGGGAGATCACCAATTGTGTCTCTAACAGTTATTGCTCGGAAAGGGGCACCAGTTGCAGTACTTCTAGCAGCAGCATATTGAGTGTTTCTGTTCAGTGTGACCTTAAGTTCTGGACCGGCAAAGACATGCATTGGTTCAGGCCACTCAGGTAGTACTTCTTCAGGAGAGGCTGCCCAAATGAATGCACGTTTGCGTGATTGAGAAACACCAAAAGCTCCAGCCTCCAGTATTCCAAACCTCACCTACAATCAATAAAACAAACTCAGATTTAATTTCTAATCCCATATACATTACATTTACGGCATCGATTGACATGATAGAGTAGTTGATGAGCATGGGTACAACATATTTCTCCAAATAGCTACCACAAATCATTCAACAGTATGGTCTCAATTTGTAGATAAATTTGTATCTAGATTTTCTTGGAGTTGGATGATGAACCAATAACTAGCTTCAAAAATAGAAGAGAACCAAAATCACATACCTGATAACCCATTTCAAGCAGTGAAGCCAAAGCTAAACGAAATGTCTGCCCTTTGTTGAAGGAGACAAAGTTCCTCACATTTTCTAATAGGAAAAATTTGGGACGGAAGTACTCAGCAAAGGACAAAAACGCCAATATCATTTCACATTGAACCTTGCTCCAGGTGCTTTGATTGAACCTATTCATACCAGAAAACCCCTGTGCATATATTTTAAATGTCAAACACGCATCAAGCTATGTTGTAAAAAACACATAAATATTTGTTCTATTTTTCATTTGATTTCTGCATATTGAAAGATGTGGAATTAGTACCTGGCATGGAGGGCCACCATTGATGAAATCCACTTGTCCAGGTCGAGGCAGATTATTTATTACATCCTCCTCAAGCTTTGCAGCCAGTTCATCAGCCTCGGAAGTTGAAATACAGTCATCAGTGTCCCCACATGCTGTCATGATAGCCCTGTATTTCAGATAATCATTAAAAATGTAAGTCAACTGAAACAAGGGCTACAACTTACAAGGTGCTCATTTTCTTGCAAAAATGAAGCCAGCTTAATTCCAATTTATTTTCCTCCATAACTTCTTTTGCCATAGGCATGTAGGCAAAGGATAGAGGGTTGAAATTTTTGAAAAGCAATCCAAGAAGACTCTAAACATTACATGTTTTCCTTAGAAAGAATTTAGATATTATTTGAAAACAGGAGTATGATCATGCAATCACTTAAGGTTTCAAAAGTAAAAAACTGATACAAGAAAAATTATCCACCTTAGTATCACGTTGCAATTATGCACAAATGCCAACGCATCAGGATGATTAAGTTTAAACGCATCACCAGCAGGTTCTTCATATTCAATTGCCCACTTGGTCACAGATGCCCCTGTAAGTAAACATGCTAATGTGTCAGAAGAGTTTCAAAGAACACAAATAAGATAATTTAAGGAGCCAAAAGTAGTTACCAGCTTTTTGTAAGCCCTCAGATAGGCCACCACAACCAGCAAATATATCTAATGTGGCTAGACAATTCTTTGAAGCAGAGCTCTCTTGGTTGTCAATCATATCAACATCATTCTCTCCTTCTTTAGACTTTCCTTTTCTCTTTCTAATTGCAGCATCACTCACCAAGCTTTCTTTTGGGGGAGTGAGCTTAATGTGAACAGGTAGCTGTGAAAAGAAGTTTAGAATATGAATAACAAAAAAAGACTAGTGAAATTGCAAAAACCTGTTTATATTTTAAATGAATTTTGCAGAATGAATTAGTGAAACTACCTGCTTAAGAGATCCCTTAGCTGGATCATAAAGACGTTCACAAAAGAAGACATGCTCAAAGATATAAGTGCTATCCAGAGAAGAAAGATCTTTCTTCCTTCTAACTTCACACTTTCCTTCTATAGCTGATAATGGCAACTTATGCACTTGTTCACTGTAATATACCTGAAAACATAATTATAGCTTGTTATCAACAATAGCAAGTCCACATGCTTTGATAAAATTAATAAGACAGAGAAGTCTTAGGCTAGCACATAAGCATGGCCTTTCATCATACAAACTGTAAAAACACACTTTGACAAGTCTTGCCATTTACCAAGTAAGTACACCATGTCATCACTATCTCATAATAAATAAAAATTAAAAATAATTATATTATCATGATGCTAAAAATCCAAGCCTTACCTCTTGAATATCAGACCGGTATGCTTTGTCTGAAGACAAATCCTCAGGTCTGTAAAATCTCCTAACTTGGACCATTACTGAGTCAGGATCAGCTCGTTTTGAAGTCTTTGGGGCTTCAATCTGCTGCAATTGACACACAACATATGCTTTAAGGCCTACATTCCTCCCACCTTTATAAGTTTCATTTCCCCTCTCATCTGTGTCAAAGTGATGAGGACCAACATATAGGAAATCATCAACATGGTACTCAGTTGCCATGTATGTAAAGCCCGTCTTGGATTCATCCAGTACAAAAGCCTCCTTTTTCTTTTCAGCTTCCATGAATTCACAGGAGTGACAAACCCCATTTCCAAGGCCCATTTTGTCTGTTTGTAGACAAAAGAAAGCACCTCTTTGAGGCCAATATAAACTCTTACAGTAAAACTCAATGGGCAGACCTTTATTTTTCCTATCTTCAGCCTTTGCTCTGTCCATCTTATCAAAATTGGCATTAGCCTTGCGATGCTCAAAACCCCAAGGCAGTGTTCTGATTTGTACCACCACAGTTTGTATGACATCATCAAGTTCAAATTCCATGCAATCATTAGTCAAAAATACCTCCCTCTCATTTGCTATGTCACCAAGAACAGTTTGCCGACCTCTTAACATCAACCGCCCATGTACAAATTTTCTAGAGTCAGAGTCTTCAAACAAGTATTCTACATAATAAATAGAATCTTCCTCTGAACCAGATGTTTCCACCAGTACTGAACTACCTAAAGCAACCACCTCTCCTCGAATAACAGCCTCTTTATAAAGAGCCTTGCCATCACACATCTTCCGAACCGCTTGTCCCACCCAATTGATGTCTGTTTTTGAGCACCTAGTTTTCTTTTGCTTTGATGCAGGGGAAGGTTTCTCAGGTTCCTGCGGAAGAATGGGGTTCTCTTCTTCAGGCTCTTCACAATCTTCCTGCTCATTTTCTTCCTGTTCCTCCTCTTCTTCGTCTTTCTTCGCATCTAGAGAATCACCCTCCTTTACCTCTTCAGGTGAGTAATTTGAGTAAAACTCTCCCCAGATCCTATTGATTAACTGTGTTGTTGTAGCAGGCATTGCCTTTCGCTTTGAGATCACAGGCCCCATTGCTGCTCTTGGGTTCATATTTTCTGCCTTTGTCAGGATTGCTTTTTTCTTCACTAACCATTTGGTGTGATGTCTTTCCTCCATTTTATCCTCAAGACCAGACACAAAAGCACTCCTCCTGATTGTATCATCTGGAAACTCCGCAAATTGTTGCAAAATAATTTGTCCATGAACAACTACATACCTTTCCACAATTGCAGGGTTAGAAGATATGTAAGCAGGGTGGTTCTTGTCAAATTCAGACAATCTCTTTATGACTTCAGAAAATGACAACTTTGATGCCCGGGTTTGCTCTTTCAGCAATGTGATGATGGCAATGGCAAGCCTTGCCGTCTTCAGAACCGTTTGATACCAAGGAGCATATTGTTTTGATGGTTTTCCTAGTCTATACCTGAAACAGACAGAAGGCAACATGAGAGCGTATTATCAGGCATTGCTTTAGATTATCAATATTTTCCCGATGAAAATTAAATCATGCCATTTCATTTACTTGTACATATCTAAAATTTCCATGCTTTTATCAAGTGAGTAGATTATCATTAAAGCAAGGTATCATGTCTTATGAAAAGATAATCATACCAGTATAAGTCAGTCTAAAATGTTGAATGAAGTTCTAGTTAAATTATGATATATTCTACATCAAAAGAAAATGACTAAGCATACAAAGAAAATGTTTGGAGATAAAAATTTAGAAATAGAACTCACCAGGCCATATCCGTTCGAATGGAAATGAAAACCATTGATGATCCAAATTCAATCATCCACTCCTTTATAGCGCTCAAGTATATAGGGATCCCATCTTCATTTTGTACACCAGAGGAACCGGAAGCACTGCCAGCTTCATTGTCAAGACAGAATCCGCTTCCATCATCAGCTGTCATTATCCCTGACCCAAACACTGTGACATCAATATCTGCACATGGCTTCATAGGAAGAAGCTCTAGGGAAATCAACCTTGAGTCACAGTTGTATAGTGACCAGTTGTGAAGCATGCTTCTTGGAAGCTGATCAGGGTCAACCGTATCAAAGTCATCAAAGATAATGTACTCATCTGTTTCTTGGGCAGTGGTTTTGTAATATGCAGGAAGCGGATAGTCGTTTGCTATCTCATCTTCATTTATTTGAATGTATAACTTGCTTGATGAAGTAGATGTTCTTTGTCGTTTCTTCTGTTTCAATGCTTGCCAATTTTCATTTTCTTGCAAAACTCTTGCCAACTTCATGTCTTCATCTTCATCAACAGCAGGTTTAGGTCCATTAGACTTGCTTGCTTTTTCTCCATCTGAAATCTTCAAAGGTGCATTCATTAATCCTCCAGGTGGAACATTCATGCCTGCACACTCTTCATCTTTTTTGCTTTCATCCCTCAGTGCAGCAAGCACAGGTATTTCAACAAAGGGCTGATCAGTACCATTAGGTGCCTCATCCAACCCAACGAGTTGCTCAAAAATGAACCCTCCCCACGAAATGATCAAGTCCCTAATAGATGCCCCATGAGGGAAATTCTTACTCCCACTCATCGAGCGGACAAGTGCAGCAAGTAATTCATCAAGGCTTAACTCTGGGTTACCCCCAGCAGATTTTGACAACCGCTTGTAGACTTCAACACATGCATGAGCTTTTTCATAGAAAAGCCCAAATAGTTTCTTATAGCTTGCTGCAGGCTTAACACAGTCATAATCAGCAAGCTCTGTAGAGATCCAAATGACTGGAGAGCCATCTTCATAACCAGATATTGACCAATCTTCAATACGCCCAAATCCATCACAACGGACTCCTGTTTCCTTCTCTTTCTCTGAAGCTTTCTCCAATGGCAATATTATGCCAGAGATGAATATATCATCGACTTCTAGCATTTCAACAGGCTGTGGCATTCCATCAGCATCATGAAAGACAAAATCTGTCAGTCTTCTATTGGGCCGTGGATCATCTGGGCCAGCTATCAAACTTATGGCTGCTATTTCTTCCTCCACCACTTGAACCTTTTTGTTCTCAATTGTTGCAGATTTTTCTGACAAGCGCAGCGGTTTGCTCTTAAAATTAGTACATGAAGCAGCTCGCTTTGGCATTTTCCTAGAAACAGGAACATCCTCACTGCTGCCAGACCTTCCTCGTTTTTGTTTAGGTTTGGTAGCTGCCTTTGTTTTAAGATCCACTGTAACATCAGACATCTCAGTTGTTGCTTTAACTTGTTTTCCTTTTTTCTTCATTTCTGCAATCCAAAAATTACGCTCCAAAGTTTAAAAAAAATACAAGACAGGGAATAATTAAGAATGAATCAAGATTTAGTTTTGCAGAGCAATTCACAGCTGATGTGGAAGTTATACATCCATGAAGAAGGATCAAACAAACAGCTGATGTTCTAGTTATCCAAGAAGATACAACACCCCAAATCAAAACATACTGAAAGGCAGATGGCAGTTGAAATGACAAAAACACAAGAAATAAGAAAAGCAAACAGGCATAGTCCACATGCTGAAGGAAACAAGAACATTGGTGGACTGAATTTCAAGATGTAAAGCAATGAGATGTTATTAAATTTGTATTCAAGATATTAGACATTCCGAGGCATAAAAGCCCCTCTAAGCATAGTCACAATGCAAAGCTCATGCCTCATCAAAGCAAGAGACACCACATACAAAAAAAATCAAATAAAGGAACATTAATAAATACTTTCATATACAAACTAGTGTTAACATTCAATTGCTCAAAAGCTTGGACAGGCATCCAGTCATAGTTTTAATGAATAAATGTGTTCATTATTTTCAGCAAAAGGAAGTGCTCTGTTTTTGTCATCCCTACTGCTTGCCTTCCTGGATTTTTATAAACAAATCGATATTTCTCTTATAAAGAAAATAAATGAATTTTAAGGGGGCCAGCTTACGGGCCAGGCCTCTCTCTGACCTGATAACTAGTATCGYCTCCCCGCCCAGCTCTATCAGCAGGCCCTTTCTTTTGCAATACTTTTTAAAGTATCTCATGGCCCAATTATTATTACAGCGTTCTCTACCATAGAATTCGGCCTTCGGGGTCAACCCRGCGGCTTCTATTAGGAAGGCGGCGCAAAGGAGGCTCGAGGGCTTGTTAAGGAAGGCGGCAAGGGCCGACGAAGGGGGGAAAACGAAAGACCTTTTCTGGTCCCCCCYGAGCCGGGGGGTGCTTGTGGGAGGGGTGTGCCACGACGAAACAAGGGAATAACAATAAATAAACCTAAAAGACCGTTTTAAAGAAACCGACAAATGTACAATACCCAGAACAGTAATTTCCAATTATATTATATGGTCATTCAACCCCTTCATCATATAGTTCCATTCTTTTAACCTAACCATAGCCATCATCATCTCTCAAGCCATCTTTGCCATCATCATCAAAACAAATGTTAGAACTGTCAAAATCAGGGTAGAATCATCTGAGTCGGGATGTCTTCAGTTAAAGCCAATACGTCAAATTTAGAGCCTGATGGTCATTGTCAGCTAAATTAAAGTGAAATTTGGCTTTTGCAAAAAGAACAAGTTGTGTCTTTGCTCCTTGCATCTTATAGGAGAGGTATGAGCTTCCCTAAGGTTTATAGGAGAGGCATGAACTTCCCTAAGGTCACTGCATCTCCGCAAGTTAAGGAAAGAATACGTTTTATTATTAGACCTCACCTAGGCACACCTCTAACAACACTGCTTAAACCTCTAGTGCTCCAACTCAACAACTCAATTATAAATTGACACAATCAGGTTGAAGTTGAGTGATGATCACACAACATTTCAAATAAAATACCACCATCAGAAGTTTTTTAATGTCTACATACAAAGCAATTTTCCAGTGCACTTCAGTGGGTATAATTTTATTACTCTATTTATAAAAGATCTTGTGTTTAATTCAAGATTACAACATTGTACAATGAACATGAAATTCACACCAAACTATTCCAAAATAACATAAATTAGGCACAATTAGGCACCTGGTTAAGAGATGCCTGTATTAAAACTGCCAAAATTGCATCGCCAAAACTAGAGTTCAGTAAAACACATCAACATATGATCTTTAAATAATTTTAATCAGTTTCAAAATGAACACTTTTACTGGTTACTGAAGTCTGAGATGGTCACTTTCCTATTTATCCATCTTTCCTATTTAGTTCAGCAACTATAGATATATACCATGATTTTCTTCTAGTGTTCAACTTATAGTTTCAACACTTAGGGGGTTCATCATACTTGAAGTAACAAGTAACAACATTCTCACACAAGAAAGAGTGGAAACAGAATGTCACAAGAAATATACATCCATTTTATTTACTACTATTTATTTTACTTGAGTTATACTAGTATACATGCACAACAGTTATTCAACAACTCTATTGAATCAATGCTAAAAAAGTTCAAAATAAATACAAAAGCCCATATGTGAAGGAAAAGTGCATATAAAATTCATCTCTTTGGTCAGAGCATTCCGAAACATCAAAAAGACAAGGAAAATGAACAAACTAAATTTACACCAGTATTTTACAAATCAATAACACATTCCAAAACATCAACTAGGAAATAGAAATAAAAAGACAGAAAATGAACAAACTATGCGTTAGAAGTTTTGTAAGTTAATGCAGGCTATACAGTAAACCTAATCCTCACCATGTGGATCTAGGCCTCTTTTCTCCCTCTCATATCCATTGACAATGCATACAAAAATTAGTTTTTTAACTACAGACTTCCTGTTAATCTTATGGGCAGCATACTTGCATAGGCCCCTACAAGCTGCTACACATGCACCTCACCTCATATATTATACTATATATGTGTTATGTCTCAAAAATCATTATTTACCTAAAGTTGTTCCAACTTCAATCACTATCCTGTGGGTACAGTAAAGAAGCTTCAGTAGACAGGATAAAGAAAAGGCCAACAATCCCAAACCAATTCCAAGAAGAATTAAGATAACTACTAAGTGGTGTCACTCATACTAAAAGTCTCAGAGATTCCAGTTACATCTCGATTACCCAATAACCTCTATTTAAATCATTCATTACATATAAAGATTAAAAAACAAGTAGCAACTTGAAATTAGAAAGGAAATAGTAAAATAAAATTTAAGTTAATTTCTATAAAGTACATCTGCATTGATGCACATCTTGCCTTACTCAGACTTTGTGCATCAAGTTACTAAAATGGCCAAAATAGGATTTAACAAAATTTTCCTACACATACAGCTATATAAGCTTATATTACTTATGAAAGAAGTGCTCTATTCTTCCAGTATATATGAATTCATCAAAAAAGAAAACACATAACAATGCAAACGAAAAATGTCCCTGTGGCTTTAGCCTCAGGGGTAAGGAGGTAGGCATTCTTGCAAAAGGAGTAAAAGGTTAGGGGATCAACTCCCAATACCACCCACATGTCCCTGGAAAAGGAGTAAAAGGTTAGGGGATCAACTCCCAATACCACCNGAGTAAAAGGTTAGGGGATCAACTCCCAATACCACCCACATGTCCCTGGAAAAGGAGTAAAAGGTTAGGGGATCAACTCCCAATACCACCCACATATCCATGGAAGGCGTGTTTTACCTCACCCATTATCAATATCAGACCGGTATGGTGAAAGCACTCTGGAAGGTGGGATCAGAAAAATGCTGACTAATATAAACAATAATGATCTGTTGTAGAAGGCACACCAAGATAGCAAAAAGAAGCATTGCACAATTAATACTACTATCCAAGCATGGCTCTTTCTGTGGCTCTATCGATGTCACATTATATCTTTTTATCTTCTGGCCAGTCTAGATTTCTTTTTCACAGAAACACAACGATGATAAATTAAACCGTGAGAGTATGAAAGACTAGGTTTTAAACTTCTACCTTCTAGTAGAGATTGGAGAAATGGAAAAGAGCTCAAGAGAGGTACTCAAACCAGTAGTGAGCAGATGTTCGCTCAAGAATTCGGTGTTGTCCACAGATGAAGAAATGAGCAGAATTTTTATTTTTCAGATGAAGGATTTCTTTTATTTGTCAGCGGCAGTAGGCCGGATTCAAAATCTGGCAAAAATGGCAAGTATACCTAGGGCCCGGCCTGTATCTCGTATGGCATAACATACAAATTTCTACCGTCTTTCTTTGTAACCCATCTAAATATATGAAACGACCTGGTTAATTGTGTATCAATGGCATTGCAATCACATACACAATGATCAAAGACATCAATACCTTCAAAAACAGATTATAAAATAATAATCCGTACTCAAATCGAACGCTATCCCTTAAGTTTAAATCTGTAACTTTGTAACCGGAAAAGAAATATAACATGATCGAAGGACGAACATCATACCACTCGGCCCTCTAGACCAATGAGCCTGTGCTTGGAAAACAAGATTTTATCGCTCTATGTCTCGCTATCTCTAGATTCGCTTAGATTTTCAACGCTAAACGCATCAACGATGATACTTTCAAGGAAAACCTTCACTTTCACTTTCTCTCTCTAAATCTAAAACTTTCTCTCTCTAATATCACTTTATCTCTCTACGAAACACCATCTGTCACACCAACATCATTACACATAGCTAGAAGAAAGAAATTAAAGAAAATACAATCGAAACTGCATGAAGTAATAGTAATTAATGACCCATCAACCAAATAAAATCAGCTACGATCGGCATAAACTGATCTGACCTGTTGGTTTCACCGCACCACCTTCTTCTGATTCTAATAAACTCGCCGTCCCCATTATCTAAACCGAAATAAAGAACACGAATCCGGAGTTTGATGAAAAAGTATCTGATTTTCCGGCAAGATTTTTGAATAAACAAATGAAACTAAATTTGAAGCTGAAATGCGTTTTATACAGGAAGCAGATTTCAAGAATTTGGCTCCAAAATAAAGGAGGGAATGAATCAAGGAATTCCGAGCGGTTTGTTTGAAAAAATTGTGGAAAAACATGGCGGGAAAATCATCAATTGTAGAAACAACTCCCGCCACCATAACCATTAATAGTACTGATTCCAAATAAAGTAAAAAAGAACCCTAAAGCAATGTCCTACTCTTCAATTTTGACTTTTAACAGTCAACCTTTATGCCGAATTAGTAATAAAATAAAATATAAAACCATAAATATGTTGTTTGAAATTACCTTTATGCCCCTTGGATGTATGAAGTTCCTTCCTGGAGGGATCCTTGAGAGTACGGATTTGTGATATATTTGGTTCAATTCAATGCTTTTTATTTATTGAAGTTGGGTGAGGTTTTGTAGATTGTTTCGGTAGTAGGTGGTTTTACTGTAGTTTTAGTAAAGTTAAAAAGGGTAGTTTTGACTTTTTGATTAGTCCTTCGTTATCGATTGTGAAATTAGATTTTATTATTGTTGTCGTTTTCATTGTTTTTGTTGTTGAATTTATTTGTTTGAAAAACATCGAGTGTTTTCAAAAGATTGGGGTTTTCTTGATTAATTCGGAAATGTATAATCCAATATGTTGGAAGTGTATTTCTATATTCAGATGATATGCATGTGTTCAACAGATTCAATCAAAAAAAGACAGAAAAATGATTACACCGATCCTGAATTGCAATGGCATTATATGTTCATCGTAATGAATTTTATAATAAATAACAATAAAAATCAATCTTTTGATATTTGATGAAATGGATTCCTCGGATCCATATAGAATATCTGGCTTATAAGATGTTGACAAACTTCATATTTTTTTTACTAGTGAAAAAACCTTAAGGATTTGTTTGTTTACCTCTTAATAGTTCTATTAAGAGGGAGCCTCTGAATCATTAAGAAGTGAATCTTGTTTGGTAAAAAAAATCCTAAAACTTTGTGAATGATTTTGTATCATAGATCTCTCTTTAATCATTCAGCGCCCTAATTTCATTGTAAACAATTATCAAACAATTATATTTCATTTTGCACTATATAATGAGAGTCTCTTAGTCATTCTGACCATTTAATTATTTTGTATTAAACCATTCAACAACTGCCAAATAGCCAGCGAATTAATAGCACTAGTTTTGATATCATTTGTGGTTACATAGTTTTGAATCATTACTTTGGTAGTTTTTGCATGTTCTTGAAATAGAGAACGATTTTTTTTTCTTTTTTTATTGCAAATTAAAATAAATAATGGGGTTTGATTGATGAACGGAAAATATATGGTTTTAAACTTGATATTTTGCGCAATAATGTTGATATCAATGTATAGATGTAAAATGTGCAAGTCACATGAGTTGAGTAACGAGTCAATACAAAGTTGTATCGAATGGTAAAATTTTAGAAAAATACCAAAACGGCTATGGTTGACCCATTAAAGGTTTTTAGTTTCTTTAGATTTGATAAGAAACATATATGTTCATTATGATTAAGAAGATATTTAATAACATATGGGTTTTTAGCCAAATAATGTAGCAATAATTATAGTTTTAGATTACGTGTTCTAAATAAATTTTAATTTTTGTCATTGTGGTATGCAGTTTTTTCTGATTATTATCTGTTAATAGAGCACGTGCTCCTCAAAAAGAGGGCCAAATTTGTCGTTTTTATACCATTTCCTATCATTTAAAGAGATCATTAACACACCTTTTTCATCGACACGTTTTATCCCTCTTCTCTCTCATTTAAAGAGATTTGATATTGTAATAGACGGCGTGTTCAAGTTCAACGATTTTAATGGGAACCATGTGGGTTTGGATATGGACTAAATGGATTCATCCCAAGTTGCATATTTGGACAACGCCAACGTTAATTTACGAAGTGGCAACAAGGTGAGGAGATCTATGTGCTACATGGGTGTCGATAGGTCGGCGGACCCACAAAGTGGAAGGGTGAACAAGAGGTGTAGGGTGGATTCAAGGGGGAAGTCAGGTTCCTAATTCAAGGGCGGTCCTAGGTTAACTAATCGTTCAATAAAACAAATCTAATTTGGTATAGACTCATGGATTCATAGTAAAGACGACATCAAGAACCACAAAAATTGTAGTGTTGCAAATCTTCATAGCTGTTAGATAAATTGAACTTGAGTGGGATCATGGAAACATGACGAATTCATATAGAAGCTAGAAAGGGGAAGAAATGGACCCTAGCATAGATTTATTTAGAACTGTCATTAAGGAAAACAATCTCCTATTTGATGTCATTTTTCTTTTCTCTTTTCCAATATCCCTCTTGATTTCTGAAATAATTTACATCTTCGCCTTTGCTTATATTGTAATACCTCATTTTTTAATCTTGCAAGTCTTCTACTAACAAACATATTTATCCAAAAAGAACTTCTTTCTGAGGACAATACATATTGGTTTTTTGTTTACATAGGGTTTAGAATAATATGTATAGGGTTCTATATCCATACCTAAACTCAAAGAACCAGATCCTCATTGAAATGAGAGATTACTATGTAGCAAAATTAGCAAAACCAAAATCAAACACAGTAAACCGAAACCAAATGCAGTAAATAAATTTGGTCAAATGGGGGATTATAGCAACAAGAAATAATGGAAAAAACAAATACCATTAATACCAATGTAGGGAAGAGTCGCACATGTGTCAAATAAGAGCCCGGGTCGTCAATGTTTATTGAGAAAGATGGAGCCTATGTTTTTAACTAGGTACTCAAACTAATAGTTGTAAAAATTAAACAAAGTTGAAAGTGGGCCTAGGCTGATCATGGGCCAAAGGTTGACTCTACATATGGATGGACTAACTAGGGTGTCGTCAGTCTGATGAAGCCTACCGTCGCGTCGATGATTCAGAAAGGTAAAGAAAATAGTTAATAAGTTATATGCTTTAATAAGAAAAAATTAGTAACTAAATAATTGATTTAGAATTTATTCGGGTGAAATAAAAGGAAAGAAAATGAACAAATACCTTCCAAGAGGTCAAAATGAGTTCTTCCACAATCTCACAAGGCACAAACACATATATCATGCAATCAAGTAAATACCACGTGTTAGATAAAAAAATGTATAGGGTTCTATATCTATACCTAAATTTAAAGAACCAAATCCTCATTGAAATGAGGGATTACTATCTAGCAAAATTAGCAAAACCAAAATCAAACACAACAAACCGAAACCAAATACAGTAAATAAATTTGGTCAAATCGGGGATTATAGCAACAAGAAATAATGGAAAAAACAAATACCATTAACCAATGTAGGGAAGAGTCGCAAAGGTGTCAAATGAGAGCCCGGGTCGTCAATGTCTATTGAGAAAGGGGGAGCCTATGTTTTTAACTTGGTACTCAAACTAGTAGTTGTAAAAATTAAACAAAAGTTGAAGGTGGGCCTGGGCTGATCATGGGCCAAAGGTTGGCTCCGCCTGTGGATGGACTAACTAGGGTGTCGTCGGACCGATGAAGCCCACCACCGATGATTCAAAAAGGTAAAGAAAAGTATTTAATAAGTTATATGATTTAATAAGGAAAATTAGTAAATAAATCATATGATTTAAAAAAAACAAATTCCCACTCACTTAATGGATCTAGCAACTGTTAGTGGAAGATACTATAATTGAGCAAAATGACAAACCATAATGATAGATATGGAATAAACAAACTATAAAACAAAACCAAGACAATCGACAAACCATAGAGACCAAAACCTTAGTTTAGTCATATACTTTTAATGATGTCTAACTTGTTGACTTGTGTTTTTTTATTACTTAACCCAATACCTTACATCACCAGCTAATGACAGTCATGCACCACATGTGTTCGCGTTCCCGAAGGTACCTCACTCTTACAATAGGTTTATTTCACCAATTTAGCCCATTATCAGCCAAATATAACATAAATTGACTTATTTCTCACAAATCGACTTAAATGTCACATAAATAAACCAAGTAAAATGTAACGAGTACATCTCGTCGCCAGATGAGTAGAATGTGCACATACATTTCTTCTATTCAAAAGTAGATATATCGTTCATGTGAAAATGACGACTTGTAAATTAATTGTCTCATCTATACCTAAAAATGAATACCAACATAATATTAATGTCAAAAGGAAAATTCGATCGATACCAAATTCTAATTGATACCACATTCAAGGGCGAAACACAAACCTTCTAATAGTAGTGATATGACCTAATCTCTTGTATATTTGTAGAAACACAAAAAATACACTGTGCAAGTTTTAAACATATTACACCTTTAAAGCAAGACATTAAATGTGAATTGTCTTGTTGATTAATAGGGTATTCATAAATTTGAGGACGCAAACTATAATCTCCTTTTAGTGTACTAAGATCAATATCAACACCTTTTCTTTTGAGCTCTTTTAGAAGAATTTTTTACAACCTGAACATTTGATGTAGAAGTATTATCTAAATTTGTTGTACTTCGGGATTTTGAGAAGAACTAACATGTTTTCTTTTGAAGAATGAAATGTAGATTGATTTTTCATCTTAATTCTACAAATCTGGTGTCAAGGCGATACGAGAGAACGCTGGAAGACCTTTCTTACCATGAAAGGTAAGGGCTAATTACATATTAAACAAAAGCAACTTATATTATCAGTAAAGAGTAGCCTAAGCAGTTAAATCAATCAACCCTAAAATAAATATCATATTAAAATTTAAGAAATCAAATAATACCTAAACTATTAGATACATAAATAAATGAAAATTTAAGAGCGCCAAACACATATAACATATTCATTATAAATTCAGAATTTATTAAGTCATTAGCATAACATAACATTAAAAATTGAAAGTGAAATCGTATGATCCAAGTGATTTTCTTAGCAACATTAATATGGCTTCTACTAAGCCCATAAAGAACACAATGGTCATATGGCCCTTTAAGACCCTCTTACAACAGATCATCTTGCAGTAGCCTTATTGAAATAGTCTAAGAAATCCTTAGATATTCTTTTTCGTCATTAAATATCTACAAAATAATAGCCCAAATTTCTCAATAAGGCATTAGCATGACAAAAACATGT